TCCCATATAGATGTGCCATAAAGTTGTCATCTTGAGCATTGCACTCGGCACCTGTCATTGTGGCCATGGAATTCTCCTCTTTAACTCGTATACTTGTGATGTCTGTTAGTCTGAGGGGTGGAGGAATGACTACATCTTCTTTGCACAGGTACTGAGTCAACATGTTGTCGAAGGACAATCTGTCAATGCACTTACTTGTTCTCATCTGGGACATCTGGTAGCGTATTATGTGGCCCACATTCACTTTTTGGCCAGTCATGAGGAAGTACAACATGCATATCTTTTCAAGACTTATAAGAGTCTTATGATTGCATGGTAATAGTCGCGTGCGGATCAATTTCGACAACACATGAGTTTACGACATCATTTGTTTCTTTGGAAATTTTCTATGGCGTTGGGTCTTCTTGTCACAAACACAAGCAGCCACATAATTGACACCACAGAGAGTGTGTCTCAATGCCTGATATGTAGGACGAGTGATGAAGTTGTCCAAGGCTTCTTATGGAACATCCGGAGCTCCCACAAAATTGCATATAGATATTGCCAAAAAATCGATCAACCTTCCTCTAATAGGCATCAGCTGCTCAGGATCATGCGTATCAAAATCAGCATACAATTATCGAACAAGGTTGACATTTATATCCCTGGTGTTTCTAAGCACGTAGCTTATGCCAAGGTTATGAATACATTTCCAAATTGATTGATACTTAGCTTGTAGGTGCAGCTCATGAACAGCTTACTCAGAATATATATGTCTCAGCCGACAAAACTTGTACCAATCCTTGGAAGATTGACGTATGCTCTTCAGTCCAAATTCTCGTACTCCCTCAGGTTGTGGGTGTGTGGCTGCTATAGCTAGAACTGCTTGCAACCCTTCAACTTGGCTTAAAGTGGCCTCCCCACCTTTTCTCTTTTTCGGTAAGGGTCGCAAGAAGCCTTGGCCTTAGTCAGAACAATAGCCTTGCCCTTGCCTTTACCATCATCTTTTTTAGGAGGCATATTCGTACCTTCGATACTTAGGAGGATTGATTGCTCTTCAATTTATGTTGCAAGTGAGTGAAGTAATGGATGAAAATTGTCTTCAATGGGGTTTGTGTTAGAGGGGGAGAGGGTAATTTGGGACGGTCAGTAAGTAGAGAGGGAAGGGATGGTGTGTTTTAATTAATGTGTATGTGAGTGTTGTGTTATAGCCGCTGGGGAAAACAAAAGAAAAAAAATAAAACTTACCTGACCTCGCTATAATCAGTGAGACGCGAGGCTAACGCAATACTGACTACGCTATAACTCGTGCGACACGAGGCTAACGCGAGGTACTTCTCGTTCTTTCCCTTGCAACGCGAGGATAATGCGAGGTGTTACGAATAAGTGACTGGGTGAGGCATGATGCGTGGTAGACCTCGCTATAACCCGTGCGACGCGAGACAATTGGTGAGATTCAAACCTAGCACCGTGAGGTCTGCTGCAAGGTGGACCTCGCTAAACCCTGCGACGAGAGCTTAATTTTAAGCTTATAACCTGGCGGCGGGAGCTCTACGGCCATGTCCATTGTACAGTAGGCTGGGCAACACGAGGTACGCAAATCTTTCAATGGCGTAATCATGTGATTTGTATTTCGTTTTGTGAACGACTCTAAGCACTATAATCTCCCTGCATGCTCCATTACCTGTTCAAGTGCTAAGATTAAGATAAAAACTTGTAAGTGCATCGAAAGAAACAAAAATTCTAGTTAAGCTAAAATAAACTACGAATTGGGTTGCATCCAGCAAGCGTCTGAATTAACGCTTTGGCACAATACAGATCAAACTTAAAGTTCACTCAACAATTAAGGCTCCTTCAAATTAATCACCGATATAATTTATTTACCTCCACGCCAAGGTAATGTTTCAACCTTTGCCAATTAGCTCTAAACCTGTTCGTTCCATCCCCGGATACAATTTCTACAGCTCCACTTGAGAGTACTTGAACCACTCTAAATGGTCTCGACCATTTAGATTTCAGCTTGCCCGAAAATAATTTCAATCTTCAATTATACAACAACACGACATCTCTGGGTTTGACAATCCTCTCTTTAATATGCTTGTCGTGCACGATCTCCATCCTTTCCTTATACAGCCTGGTTCTTTCAAAAGCATGGTAACTAAACTCATCGAGTTCATGAAGTTCTGTGACTTTACTCGTACCAGCGGCCTCCATGTCAAGATTTAATGCCTTAAAGCCCAAAAAGCTCTATGTTCTTGCTCCACTGGTAAGTGAGATGCCTTTTTGAACACCAATTGTACAGTGACATACTAATCAAAGTTTTGAATGCAGTGCGTCAGGCCCATACCAATCCGAGTTTTGAATGCAGTGTGTTAGGCCCATAGTAGTATTTTTTTGACCAATCAGTCCGAGTAGTATTTACAGTTTTGGTCAAAACACTCTTGATTTCTATGTTTGAAACCTCAACTTGCCCATTTTTTGTAGGTGGTATTGAGTGGCAACCTTATTTCGTACGCCATATATTTCCAGCAATTTTGCGAAAGCTCGATTGTAGAAGTGAGTTACTCTATCACTAATGATAACTTTTGGAGTTCCAAATCAGCTAAAGATATTTTTTCTTATAAAACCAACAACTCCCTTTGCATCATTTGTTTGGAGTGCCACCACTTATACCCATTTCGAGAAATAGTCCAATGCTACAAGTATATACTTGTTGTTGTATGAGCTGACAAATGGTCCCATAAAGCTGATTCCCCATACATCAAATACTTCTACTTCTTGAATTGGGTTCATGGGAATCTCATGCAGACGGGAAATATTCCCATGTCCTTTGACACTCATCACAACACTTTACCCAAAAGTGTGCATCTTTAAACAACGTCGGCCAATAGAAGCCCGACTCCAAAACTCTAGCAGTTGTCCTTACTCTTCCAAAATGACCTCCATAAGGCAAAGCATGACATGCCTGCAAAATAGAAGCTTGGTCTATCTCGGGAATACATCTTCGGATCATGTTATCAAGACAAATCCTTAACAAATATGGTTCTTCCTGGAAATACATGCGACAATCACGAAAGAACTATTTCTTCTTTACAGAAGATAAGTCATGGGGAACAATACCGCTTAGCAGGTAGTTTGCAATGTCTGCATACCATGGCGCTTCCTCAAGGCTCATGGCTAACAGTTGTTCATTCGGGAAAGTCTCCATGAACTCTTACACCCCAACCTTCGTTTCAACTCTTTCAAGCCTGGACAAGTGAACGGTAACTTGGTTCTCCATTCCTTTTCGGTCAAGAATTTCCAAGTCGAACTCTTGCAACAGTAGAACCCATCGAATCATGCATGACTTTGCTTTATTCTTATCAATTAGGTACCTGAGAGCAACAGGTCAGTATAAACAATTACTTTCGAGCCTATCAAGTAGGACCGGAATTTGTCAAATGCGAACACCACAACTAACATATCTTTTTATGTCACTGTTTAATTTAGTTGAGCATCATTCAATGTTCTACATGTGTAGTAGATTATATTCATGGTCTTATATTTTCTCTGCCCAAGTACTGCTCCTATATCATGGTCATTTGCATCACTCATTAGCTCAAATGGTTGCTCCTAGTCGGGTGCCACTATGATAGGTGTAGACACCAACCTCTTATTCAATCCCTGAAAAGCTATCATGCAGTCATCATAAAACACAAAAGGATGATTGTTTACAAGTAATTCACACAAAGGGTTAGCGATCTTGGAAAATTCTTTTAAAAAACGCCTGCAGAAATCGGCGTGACCAAGGAAACCTCTTATTGCCTTGACAGAAGTAGGTGGTGGCTGCATCTCTATTACATCGACCTTAGCACGGCCTACCTCAATGCCCTTACTTGACACTAGGTGTGCTAAGACTATACCTTCTTATACCATAAAATGGTACTTTCCCAGTTTAGCACCAGATTAGTCTCCATACATCTCTGCAGCACTCCTTTTAGATTTCTAAGGAAATCATCGAAAGCGTCTCCCACCACTGAGAAATCATCCAAGAAAATATCCTTTATGTCCTCTACCATATATGTTAAAATGTCCATCATGCACCTTTGGAATGTGGTGGGTGCATTACATAGGCCAAACGACATTCTCCGAAAAGCATAAATTCCTTATGGACAGGTGAATGATATTTTCTCTCTATCTTCCGGGCAATTGATATTTGATTGTACCCCGAGTATCCATCCCGGAAGCAAAAATGGGACCTCCCTGCCAATCTATCAAGCATCTGATCAATAAATGGCAAGGGGAAATTATCTTTTCGGGTGGCCTTGCTCAATCTTCTGTAGTCCATGCAAATTCGCTATCCTTTGACTATTCTTGTTTTGATTAACTCATTGTTCTCATTTTTCACAATAGTCATCCCACCTTTCTTTGGCATACACTGAATTGGGCTAACAGAGTTGCTATCTGAGATGGGAAACATAATTCCCTCATCTAACCACTTGATCACTTCCTTCTTTACAATTTCCTTCATGTTAGGGTTCACCTTTTTTGATGTTCTCTGGAAGGATTGTTCCCATCTTCCTGTAGAATTTTATGCATACAGAAGGCCGGGCTGATACCCTTAATATCTATAATGGTCCAACCAATTGCAATCTTGCACTCTCTCATCACCTACAAAATTTGTTCTACCTGCACATCTAACAAACCATATGAGATAATAACAAGTAAAGTCGAGTTAGTTCCCAAGAAAACATACCTGAGGTGAGATGGTAGTGGTTTCAGCTCCAATTGTGGTGGTGCTAAGATCGATGGCTTGGCTGGAGGTGTCTTTCTTTCTTCCGAATGTAAAGGCTCGAATTCGAGCTCTCTTTTCCAGTATCCTTGCCCTTGAAGAGCCAACATCCATTTACTTCTTCTAAGTTCATGAGGCGGACTGTTAGCGGGTCTTTTGTATTAAGTGTATCACCATATTCCTCCATGATTAAATCCATCGTGTCTAACAAAGAGCAATTTGCAAACTCACTGAGTCGCTGCATAGACTTTTACACACTAAGTGTTATTTCTTCATTACTTAACCTCATCTTCAGCTTCCCTATTTCCCAATCAATCAGAGCTCTCCCTGTGGCCAAGAACGACCTTCCCAAAATTATGGAAATCTCCCCATCAACCTTGCAATCCAGAATGACAAAATCTATTGGAAACACAAATTTTCCAACTAGCACAAGTGCATCGTCAAGTATACCTGATGGCCTTTTCACCGTTTGGTCAGCTAGTTGTTGCAACATGGATGTGGGCCTTGCTCTTCCAATGCCTAACTATTTATAGATAGACAATGGCATCAGATTTATACATGCTCCCAAATCACACAATGTTTTGGCAAATGCATTGCTACCTATGGTGCATGGAATTACGAAGCTTTCATGGTCGGATAACTTCTCTGCTATAGGTCTTGACATAACCGCACTACAGGTCTGTCTCAATGTGACAGTTACCATGTTTTGAAAGTCAAAATTATGAGACATCAAGTCATTCATCATTTTTGCATCACCAGGCACCTCCTTCAAAGCATCAATTGGAGGAATGTTTACCAGAATTTGCTTAAGAATTTCCATGAAGTTTTTGTACTGCTCATCATTCTGATATTTGGCCAAACTTTGCGGAAGGGTGCTGGAGCTCGCTTCTTTCCTGTGGCTTGAGTTAGATCTTGCTTAAGCACTTTTTCTAATGCCTTCTCTTGCACTTTCTTAGCCTCCTCTGCAACCTCTTTTTCCTTGTTTATTTCCTCCTGGGCTGGTTGCACTCTCACTTTTGCTAGCTCAGTTGAATCATCTACCTCAATTGGAACTGACACAAGTGTTTCAGTTAATCGGTTATCATTTCTTGATCTAAATCAAGATCTATACCATTTCTCAAACTCACCGACATAAGCTGATTTGGGCGCTGCTCCTTCGGATTGACATGTGTGTTTGCAGGTAAAGTCACTTGGGGATGATTATTCAGAGCCATAGATATCTGCCCTAATAGAATCTCAATGCCTTTTATCGCTGACTCATGTACTTCCACCTTCTCTCCCACTTTTCCATTCGACCCAATTAGTTGTTGCAGCATTCCTTTAATTTCAGACATCCCAGCATCTTATCTCACTAGTTGTTGTTGAGCTTGTTGATAAGCTAGCTACTGATTTTGCTGACTGTATCCTTGTTGCCTTTGGTAAGGCACTACTTGACCCTGTGGTCGCATAACTCCATGATTATTGGGGTTATTGTATTGTTGTTGTACCAGTCTATACTTCTAATTGTGCTGCCCCCAATTCTGACCACCTTGCCTCTGGCCTCCATAGCTACCCACATAGTTCATATTCTCCCGATAGTTTTGGTTGTCATTTTCACCACTCCACGAGCACACGTATGATTGATTAATGCATAGTGTACATAATCCCCCTTTAGTCATGTCAATAATGTGTACCTGCTTTTGGCCTGATTCATCAATCTTCTTGGTGAGGATACTCATTTGTGTCATCCGAGTAGCCATATTCTCAGCTATGGAGTTGTTCAGGTCCAATGCTACTGAGTGAACTATATGGGTGATTGTAGTGTCTCTCGTCATCCATCTTGAGTTTTGAGCCATTTTATTTAGCGGGACTTTACATTCTCTAAATAACTTGCTCAAAAATGCTCCACCTGCTAAAGCATCAACATTGGCCTTCAAATTATCCGCCAATCCCATGTAAAACCATTATCCCAACATCTGATCTGGAATGCCATGATGTGGACACTTAACCAGCATACCTTTGAACATCTCCCACGTTTCTTGTAATGTTTCAGTTGGTTTCTCCATGAAGCTCAATATTTCATCAACTTGCTTAGTGGTCTTATTTGGTGAGTAAAACCTGTTCAAAACATGCTTGACTAATTCCTCCCAAGTGGTAATGGAATTTATGGGAAGCGAATTAAGCCAAGTCTAGGCTTCTACTGTCATTGAGAATGGAAACAACAATAGTCTTATTGCTTCCGGCGTCACATTTGGTTGCCTTTGCATGACACAAATTGACAGAAAAGATTTCAGGTGCTTCTGTGGATCTTCAATGTAACACCCGGAGAACAGTACCGTTGTTTTGTAGCAGATGTAGCATGTTGTTTGTGATTTTAAATGACTCTGCTTGTATCTGAGGTACTGTAATTGCAGTTGCCAAATTTTTGGCAGTGGGTTGTGCCCAATCATACAAAGCTCCTTCTGGAACAAGAGGTGCCACACCTTGATTATTCGGTTCATTCACAATGTTTCAATTGTTTTGATTATCCAAAGCGTCACCCATGTCTGGTTCAATTTGTTCTCTTGGGTGATGTTGTTGTTTGTATTTCTTGTTTGCACGATTTAATGCATTCAAAGTTTTCTCAGGATCTGGTAATGCTTCAAACAATTCACCAGTTCTTGAAGGGTTTCTATGCATACACCTATAACACACAAGACCACAAACATTAAAATTTCAATGCAATGAATAAAAATGGAGAAAATTGACTAAACTAAGAAACCTGACAATTCTTATAGTTATAATTAGTAACAATGTTGCTTTCCCCAGCAACGACTCCAAAATTTGATCACGCCTAACTATGCCTACTAAGAGGTCTAGCGGTCGTTGCAAATATAATAGGGTTTACAAGTTCGTAGTCGAATCCCATAGGGAAATAAAGATACAACTACTAGTTTTGCACGAATTCAAGTAATTAACCTTCAGAAATATTATATAATAATTTGACAGATTACTAACTAAGATGAAAGTAGTTAAAAATGCAGTAATTTATAACTAACAAAGCAAATATTGTAGACAAAATTTTGAAGAGTCTAAGGTTATGATTTCCCCTATTGTCGGAATCTTCCCTGCTACGTTTTCTATACATTCGCCTAAATATTCTCTACCGATTGTTAAGTGTCGTAGCTCTCTCTCAAGAAACTACTATAATTTACTAGATGTATTCTCTCAAACTATGCTAGCTGGCACTAATTTACCGCTCACGACGATCGCACCAAGGATTTGTTATCTCTAATCCCACCTTTAAACCCTCTGTATCGATCTCTCAACTACTTTTGGAGTGGTGTTGTTCACTAATTACCTAAATGTATACTCTCTCTCAAGAAATATACACACTAAATAGGCATAATTAATTGAGAGATCTTTAATTAACAACAATGAAAATATAGTTGAACAAGTAGAGAAAAATCAAAGGCAAATCTATATTACATGTAGTAGAAAGTCATCCTCCAATAGGTTCCATCAAACCTTAGATTAACGAGTTTAGATGCTCATATATACAATAACAATCAACATAATGGTTAAAGACATAAAACAACAAATTAAAGAGATAAAGGAAGGAAAACCTCGTTCGATTTTTGCTCCACGGTGCTTGGCAATCTTTTTCTTCTCCAAAATCCTGTCCAACCCTAGAATAACTCGTTTGGGGAGTATTTATGTCAATCCCCGGATCCAAATTCTGGTTTGGGTCTTTTAACCTTCGACTTTTAATTATCGTGCTATAGAGCTCGCGAAGCCTGGTTTGTAGCGCGGTCGACCTGGATATAGACCTCGCGAAACCTGGTCTATAGCGCGGTCGACCAGGCTATAGACCTCATGAAGCCTGGTATATAGTGCGGTCAACCTAGCTATAGACCTTGCGAAGCCTGGTACATAGCGCAGTCGACCTGTCTATAGACCTCGCGAAGCCTGGGTCTATAGCGTGGTCGACTTGGATATAGACCTCGCAAAGATTGATCTGTAGCACGGTTTGGGTACTTGATGTTTTTGTCTCCTTTCTTGCATTTTTTGTCCATGTTTTGTACAACTTCCATTCAATGATTCATTCTGATATTCCTACACATAAAACAACACAATTTAGCACAATTGTCGCACAATAACTCACTAAACCAACAAAACATATAGCGAGTAATGTACTAACAGTATAGCATTTTGGCCTAACATCAGTGATTTTTATATGATGTTGTGATTTTTTCTGGTGTTTATTTTTATCTTTTGTGCAACTTTTCTTGTTGTTGGTAACTTGATAATTGTATAATTCATGTTGAAATTGTGAGCATGTGGCTATTGCCAGGCGGATTATGTTATTGGCACGTGAATTGTTCGTGCAGATGTGATATGAAATATGGGCATGAGATGCCAGGGAAATATAATGGTTATGTTATTGGCACGTGAACTGTCCTTGCGGTGTCGATAGAAATATGGGCAAGAGGTGTAGTGAAATTATGAAAGTGGGCTGAGACCCGCATTTTATGATTATAAAACGAGGTGTCACATAGTGACTTTTATTCGAAGGAATTATATTCAAAACGATATTTATTTGAAAGGAGTATATTTGCAAAATCTTTAATGGAAAGAGTTTTATATTAAAAGGATATTTATTCGAAAGAAATATATTCAGAAGTTATTTATTCGAAATAATTTTATGTGAAAGATTTATATTTGAATGACTTGTTTAATTGGTTGTACTTCTCTTTCTTATTCGTTTGAGTAATAATTATGATGTTCGTGCTGCCTTGTTATTTACATCACTAGTTGATTGTTGTTGCTGTCACTCCTATTTATTTTCCATTATTTTTGTATACTATATTGGATAGGTTATTTGACTAGTGAGTATCTTGACTGTACCTCATCACTACTCCATCGAGGTTAGTCTTGATACTTACTGGGTACCGACTGTGGTGTACTCATACTACACTACTGTATATTTTTGTGCAGAGCTAGGTATTGAAGATATCGGACTCGGACAAAGTTAGAGTGTGATCGAAAGAGCTTAAGGTAGATCTACTTGGTCGTCGCAGTCCCTTGGAGTCTTTCCATTTTTATTGAAATGTTAATTTCTTATTAGAACAATATTGTATATTTGAGATCATTTCATGTATTCAGTTAGAGTTCGTGACTCAGTATTACATGTCTTCGGAGGTTGTTATATTAGTTTCTGCTTTTGGTTTCTACCTTGTATTAAATTATATGTTTCAAAAATAAAAAATGGCTCAAAATGAAATTGTAATCGGCTTACCTAGTCTTAGAGACGAAGTGTCATCACGACACCTGAGGTGGGATTTTGGGTCATGATAAGTTGGTAACAGAGCTCTAGGTTCATAGGTTCTACGAGTCACAAACGTGTTTAGTAGGGTCTTGCGAATCGGTATGGATACGTCTGTAGTTATCTTCGAGACGTTACAGAATTGTTAGAAAATACTCACTTCTTTCATTCCTGTTGTGCGGAATTTGTTTAATTTGGAATTTGAGCCTTTGTATCTCTATTCTCTCACAGAGTGTGAGGACACGTGCTACCGCATACTGCTAGGGTTGCAATAGGTCGGGGTTGAGGTAGAGGCCGAGGAAATGAATGTGTCACAGCTAGAACATCGGTCAAAGGAGCAGTTCAGGAGCCGCCAGTAATAATAACCGCACGGCAGAAACCTCGTGCATCATAATAATAATAATCGCACGGCAGAAACCTTGTGCATCACGACAACAAATACAACAACAACAATGGCAATAATACAAAGTACGACAAGTAAATCAACTCAAGAACTTTTAAATCACAGGAAAATGTGGGACCAAATCACAAAGAATAACCACAGTAAAGAATGTTAGGCGTAAAGAGAACAACTCAACAAAAGGAAACTAATGTGTATCAACGATCCCACAATATACATTTCAACAACAGGGAAACTAACACGAGTCAAATAATTCCAAATAAAACAAGTCGACTAAGATATAGGATATCTAAAACTTCTTTTAAGGTTGAGAAATTAATAAGGATTTTCAAAATTTTAATTAAGGATAAGCAAGGGAAAGATAATCATAACCTCAATTAAGACTGAAAAAATTATAGAATTAAATAATACAAATTCCAAATAAAGATAAGCAGTTATGAAAAAATAGTATGGCTATAAAAGAGATAACAGTTTCAATTAAGGCACATATGAATCAAGTAACGATAATAGTGGATCATGAAGCAATTTATTCTAATTAAGCAGGTAGATGTGAATCTAGTAATTAAGATATATAATCATAACAAGAACAACTGCATATTCAATGAATACAAGGACCTAAGAACCCTAAAAGGCCAACTTTCCACAAATAA